ACGATATTCATTCACATTTATGGTCGTAAAAATTTCGACTGAAGAGTGTGTCTGTGTAATCAAATCCCTTCCCATTTCTCGATATTCTGTATACAGCCCTGTACCGCTTTATGAAACAGTAAAAAAAGCACAGTTTTTATTTAAAAAATCAATGTTTTTCATCAAAATTATTTGCCTGAATTTCGGGACATCGAGTTTAGTCAGGTAGAATATGAGAGCCGGGGCAATTATTTCATTTGCCTATGTGGTTATTCATTTGCCTATGTGATTAGGTAAACCTAATGCTGGATCGCTCCTTGGTACAATATTTTCCAAAATGAGAGCAACTTCTAATGTTAAATCGCGATGGATCTGGTAATGGAATCTTCGCCTCTCAATGAGGTGACCCAGGTTCAAATTCAAGAGGTGGCTGGTTGATACAGATTCTTCTCCTGGCTCTCAATAAGCACAGTAACCAGTCGACCGTAAAATATCTTCAGTGATCGACAAAAAGTGGGTTAAAATCCCTGTGTCATCGGGCTAACCATGAGAAGTTTTCGGGGCTTTCCTCTCCAAGTAACGCAAATGTGGGTTAATTCCATCAAAAAGTCCCTCCATGAAGGCTAGTTTGTCCCCATACTTGAATTTGGAGTTCCCTTGTTTTCTGGACTGAGTTCAAAATTACAAGGCTACGGAGTTGAAATTTAGTAGTAGTAAACCCTTGGTTCGGCTGTTCAACTACGGTTTTAAAATAAAATAAAAAGGGAGCTCCTGGATCAAGCATTGGGACAAACCAATGGAAATAACCCCCCCCCCCCATTTGAGTTACATGAAGAGGAAAACCACCAAAACCACGAAACTGAAGGAGTTTTGAGAGGTATTCGTGGACTATCCTCTCCATGTAACGCAACTGCGTGTTAATTTCATCAAAAAGTCCTCCACAAAGACTAGTTTGTCCCGATGCTTGATCCGGAAGTTCCCTTGTCTTCTGGGTTCAGTTCAAAATTATAAGATTATGGATTGAAAATTGATGGTCGTAAACTCAGAATTGGGTTTTTTTGCTGCGCTAATTAGCAAGTTATAAAATTATAAATTAAACTTTTTAATGTTATTAACTACACTTTTTGTAATTAGTATAAGCTTTTCAAGGGTATGTGATTTCTCATCTCTTCAAAGGACAAATCTTGCTTTACCCCAAGCCAATGCATTCCAACTTCTTATTGAAACGGTCTGTTATGATGAAAAAAAGAAATATCTGCGGAAACCATGGTAACGGAGAGGCATACTCTGTGACGTGTGGGGTAATCGAGTAACCTTGAGACGCCTATTACAAAGAATACAATTGTAGTAATATAAAAACAAATTCCAAAATCAATCTGATTATTTTAATTTAGTCGCATGTTTTATATTTGTTTAGCCGACTTTCACTTCGCCAAACTTTGAACAGAATATTACCAAACTTTCACTTAGTAATGAAAGGAACCGGTGCTTCAATTTATGATAAAATAGAGATAATTTCAAAACTACATCTGACTCATTCGCATATTTTATATTTGCTTAACCGACTTGTACTTAGACAATCTTTAAAGCGAAAGTTGATACTTTCACTTTAGTATGAAGGAAAACCGGCACTTCAATTTATGGTCTTGATGTGGCCTCTATCAATCCATCAGGATCTTGATAGAAATGATTTACAATAGTTAGTTTCACGGGATTAATTTAGTTAGAGAATTGTAATAATTTATCATGATTGTAAAGTATAGGATGTGTATTACTATGCATCCTGGATTCATGCATATGTTACCGTGTAAGGCAGAAGTGTGACTAATATCGAAATTTTGCATAATTACGCTGTGGTGGTTATGAAACTTCGAATTATTCGTTGTTTCCGATTTCATATTAATTTATATAATATTTTAGTCCCGCAGTGGACTGATCGCTAAGACACGGTTCCCAGCAGATCACCGAAGTCAAACATCACTGGCTGCGGTCAGTGTGCGGGTGGGTGACCACTTGGATCAGTCTGCGTTGGGACCGAGGGTGTGCGGTATTGGTCCTCGTTAAACTGTGCTACCGTAAAGTGCTCGACTTTGCGAGCAGGTCGTCGGGCTACTGAAGCGGAGGTGCCACCGCAGAGGATCAAAATTGTGATGGCATGTCTTCGGATCATCCTCCGGAATGTTTCCCAGACCGTCGCCAATAGCCCATTGTGCAGCGCTAGTGCGACGTATATGAACAACAACAACAATATAATACTATTTTAAATTTATTTAAGTTTTATAATATCGTATTAATTTAAATTGCGAAAAACATTGGTTTATTGGTACAACATACATTTTCAGGCTTGTGTGCTCAATTAAGGCTTTTAAACCTTCGTCAAGCGGAAGAACAGGTAGCACAATACAGAGAAGAACATCATAAAGAATACATCCAGGGTAAAAGCGGGATTCGAACCCGCCACCTCCACGCTTAACAGAGCGTTTAACGGACGATACTACTTGGCCAGGGAGGCCCAGCGAAAAACATTAGTGTCGGGATGTTGTTGTTGTTGTAGTTCATATACGTCGCACTAGAGCTGCAGAATGGGCTATTGGCGACGGTTTGGGAAACATCCCTGAGGATGATCCGAAGACATGCCATCACAATTTTGATCCTCTGCAGAGGGGATGGCACCCCCGCTTCAGTAACCCGACGACCTGCACGTGAAGTCGAGCACTTTACGATAGAACAGTTTAACGAGGACCAATACCGCACACCCTCGGTCCCAACGCAGACTGATCCAAGTGGTCACCCACCCGCACACTGACAGCAACCAATGATGCTTGACTTCGGTGATCTGCTGGGAACCGTGTCTTAACGATCAGTTCACTGCGGGACTAAAATATTATATAAATTAATATGAAATCGGAAACAACGAATAATTCGAAGATTCATAACAACAGCGTAATTATGCGAAATTTCAATATTAGTCACACTTCTGCCTTACACTTCGGTGGTCTACTGGGAACCGTGTCTTAACGATGTCCACTGCGGGACCATTAGTGTCGGGAATACGGAGCGCATGAATACCGGGCAATTGCTCATGCATCCCTATGTTTATCTTCCGTTCACCCTACCTTTCTACCTCTTGCCGAACCTAGGATTTGTTAATTTCCACGCATGCACTGTGAAGCAAAGGGGACTGCTTGCTCTGCATCACGTCCATGCCTCCCTATGTCTGTCTTTCGCTAAAACTACCATTTCTATCCCTTGCCGAATCTACGATTTGCTAATTTTCACGCATGCGCTGAGAAGCACAGATAGCGGAAGATTCAATTTACTTTATAACCGGCGTTGAACTGCAGACCTAATTTTGAGTTTTATGGCAGCCAATGCTCGACTCCGTGGTCTTGATATTTGAATGAAATCAACACAGAAGACAAGGGAACTCCTGGAAAGCTGTGGTGGCACAGGGGATGGGGCATCCGCCTTCCAACGAGGTGAACCGGTTTCGAATCCTAACGATGGCTGGTCGATACGAAATCAGCACCCGGCTAGCAGTGACCACAGTGCTGACATGAAATATCATCAGTGGTAGACGGATCATGAGTTAGAGCCCCATGCCGTCGGGGTAACCATGGAAGGTTTTCGTGGTTTTTCTTTCCATGTAACGCAAAAGCGAGTTAGTTCTATCTAAAAGTCTTCCACGAAGGCAAATTTCTCTCAATATTTGATTCAGGATTTTCCCTGTCTTCTGGATTGGGTTCAAAATTACAAGGCTACGGAGTTGAATATTGGTAGTCGTAAACCTAAAATTGGATCGACTGTCCAACTACGGTTATAAAATAAAATGAAAAGGGAACTCCTGGATCAAGCATTGGGACAAACTATTTTTGATGGAAATAACACCATTTGAGTTACAAGGAGAGGAAAACCACGAAACTGGAGAAATTTGTTATTTTCAGTTTCTAACTCCGAAAGTTTGTAATGTTATGAGTTTTTTATTTCAAATTAGTGCTGCGTAACCGCATCTGGATTGTGCCATACATTCAACTGAATTTAATTAAATAAGTCTGCAAATTTATTTCAAATTCCTTTCAATATTTTGTCATTTTGTTTAAATTATTTTGTAAGAAAATGTACTTGCAACGTAAAAAAATCCGTTTTTAATAACCCATAAAAATAAAAAAAATCAGTTTTCTTTATTTATGTTTTTTTTTCCCCGTTTTTTATTCCCCAGAAATCTGTTTGCTTAAAAGTGGTAGGATTGTTTAGCATATTTTAACAAAATTTTAACTTTCTTATACAAGTTAATTTAGTTGTAAAATCGAAAATAAGTTTATAAATTAACTGGATTGAGCGTAGTGGTCAGTCAGTTTCAGGCAAGAATTTTGAAATGAACGGACAACTTTTTAAATTTTTGCACTGTCTGTTGAATGACATGTGGTGCAGAGTGCGACCGTCGTACATATGCCATTACAATTTATCAAAGTTTACAAATAAAAATTTTTGAAGCATAACTATTTTAAGAGTGAAATTTAATTAAATTATTAGATGTTCTAAACATAACGGATGGTTTTAGAAATCAGTTACATAAAAGCGGAACCAAAAATGTACGGTTTATTCTGCTGAGGAAACTAAAGTTCTCTTCTCACAAACTTTCAAAATAAATTATAAAGTTCGTCGATAGATGGCGCTAAATGCTTGAAAACTTCTGAAACAATGTTGTCTGCTGCTTATCAAAACATTGCGATTGATATATTTACAGGTTTGTGTCTGTTTTTGCTGCAATTTGTAGTTATTGCTACAAATGGTGGTTATTAAGAAAACATTGACCATCATTTACTTCAGATAGCTGGGACATTTGTTGGCACACTTTTCGATTAATTTTGAAAGTTCTTTTAGTTCCTGAAAGCAGAACGCAGTGATTCGAAAATTTCTATCTTCTTCCTTTTTACTTAAATTCATTTTTGAAATTCTAGGTCATTTTTGTGGCTTTTGGTGTATTCTAATAACAATTTTAAACGATTTTATTTTTACAGATATGCCATTAGTGCAAAGAATTTTGTTCGCTCTTCGAGTGCTTTTGGAAGATGAATCACCTCCAACCAGAAAGAAAAAGAGAAGATCCTCTTCTGGAACGGGCAGTCAAGTTCAGACTAGACAGGCAGCAGCCCTAGTTCTAACTTTCAAAGATTTATTCGCTTCTGGACATTTGAATCTAATTCTGGAGGATATTGAAAGGAATAAAGCTTCCCCAACTAAGAACAAATGCAGTAGTAAGCTACAAAAAAGTCGAATATCCATTGGCCAACCGTCTGCTTCATCTAGCCCAAAAGTGCTTCGTAATGGTGAATCTGTGTCTTCGGGAACTGGTCAAAACTCTTCAATGGCAACACCTTCTGTATGGCCATTGGTAATAGAAGGTATAGATGAGAGTGTACCTTTATTGCGCGAAGAACGGATAATTTCTTGTACCAGAATTGACTTCGAAAGCATCGACAAACTTTTGGCCAAAAGAGTGGCCAGTAGACTGTCCAGGAACGAAGATCGTGCTCAGGAATCGACTTCTAAAACAGTGAGTTGCTCGACTGGCGAAAAAGTAACAGTGTCTTTATCGCCTGATGACGAAAAAGAAACAGTTGCTGTGTTAAGGAAAGTTTTTAAGTGGTCGCCAAGGAAGCAGAGTGCTGTGACGTTCGAAGTTCCTTTGACAAAAAAAGAAGAGCACAAGGCTGTCGCTGCCGTGCAGAATGCAGTCAATCGTGTCAAAGAAGAAAATTTCAAGAAAAAGAAGAAGTGGAAATTTCCTAAACTATCACTGTGCTAATTAACAAGAAAAGGATTAAATATGTGTGTTTATTACCGAAATGTTTAATTCCGCTAACTGACCAAATGAGATTTATAAAGGCATTTAATCTTACTAGTTATGATCTCAACTTACTATATGTTGAAAAAAGCTCTTAAAAAATTGCTAAGTTTACTGCAAGTCTTAGCAATTTTCTTAGTCCTGTAAGAGTGATATACTTTTTCCGAATACTTCCAATTGCAAATGCGAGAATGTGTAAAATAACTAAATTTTCTTGAATTTCTAACGTGTTAAACTGTTCTTCAAATTAAGTTTAATGTATATGATGGGTTTCTCCAAGACCTGTAAGAATACTGTAGTTTTCCAAACTGGAAAAAAAGGAAGTTCTAATGTTTTGGTACTTGATGCATAATATGACACAAAACTGAATCAATTAGCTTTATGTTGAACCATTCTTCACGAATGCTACGAGTACTTTGCTGTTTGTGATGAACTATTCTAGACTAAAATTGTAGTAACCAAAATACTTACAACTCCAGTATTCTGTGCTAAGAAAATCTATTTAATGGATCAGTGGAATTAATTAGCTTTGACATATTAAACAATTCTTCAAGAGTTAAATTAACTTATGTTATAGATTTTTCTAGATACGTAAAAGCAGTTTAGATTTCCAAGGTGGTTTTAGTTCTATTATTTAGGCACACTCTGTGCTAATATAATGCATAAAATAACTCAACTAACTTAAAACTAATCCATTAGTTTTAAAATATCAAGCGAGTCTTCAAAAATGCTAAGTTTGTGTGTGATAGATTTTTCTAGTCATGTAACTGTAGTTATTTTAATTTTAGACTGTAGAAATTTAGAATATTAAATTAAAAATAAATTTTAAATTCAATTACTGATTAAAAAAATATTGCCACAACATTGTTTAAAATTTGTATTTATTGTGTTACGGCATTCCCTCAGAACAATATACTAGGGCCAAGATAGCCTAGTTGGTAGGTCATCGTGAGTTTGGTACCCAACTGTCGAAGATTCGCTGTGTAGTAAATGGTGACTGGTGCACGTTAAATCTGCTGGGTTACTCAGTTCTTAAAGTTCTCATAACAAATCAACTCTAAAAGCACTGAATTGGAGATTGATCGTTCTCTGGTTCAGATCAATTCGTACAACAAACAATGATCTGCGGATGAAAGAATGGATGGATTCGTCCTTTAAAACGGGCTGTGACGTGTGTGTATGTGTGGCTAAAATGGTATTCATAGCCATAGATTGCGCTAATCCAAGTGGTCACCCACCCGCATACTGACAGCAGGACAGTGGTGCTTGACTTCGGAGATCTGCTGGGAACCGTGTCTTAACGATCAGTCCACTGCGGGACGAAACGAGAAACTCAGCCTCTGCTTTAAATTCGCTTGGTTTCACCAAGCAAACTTGCAGGTTGGCAAGTGGCATTAGAGACAACAACAACACAATATATTAAAACTTTAAATCAACTCAAGACAAAATCTAACTATATATAAAAATCTAATAATGGTATCGTAATTTTCACATTGTTGCCAATACATTTTTGATGACCGTAAAATAACATAGTAGGATCCAGTTTTCCCACATATGAGTCGCTCAGAAGCCAATGCGGTTAAGTCCAAAACACAAAAATTGAGAAAATTAATGTTTTTTGATATTTTAGTTTTTAAAATTCTTGGTTTATTAATTTAATTAGAAAAGTGTATAGTCTTTTTTCGAGGTGTAAACTTTGCAAAAAAACAAGATATGTACAAGATGTGTAAATAAAAACGTAAATATTTTTTGAAATAATGACAGCATCTTAAAAATTTTAGGACTTATACCTTTTGGCAGCTGAAAAAGATAAGAAATTTATTTCAAAGTTTATGTAAAAAAATATTGATAAAAGGTGGACTTATTCACAATGGCTTCTGAAATTATTATACAATATATTTAGAAGCTATTTAAAAAAGGGCTGTCTAACCTAGAAAAAAGTAACCAGCGAGTAAATCCTTTAATAACTAAGAAGATTATTATTTATTTCATTAAAATTTCCAAAAATCAGAAAATATCAAAAAATGGACTTAACAGCATTGGCTTCTGAGCGGCTCATATATTTCCAGATTTTTTCGGTTGTTATCAGAATAAAATTGATAGAAATCAAAAAGGTCATTGTTTTCCTGTAAAATATTTTTGCATTTTAAATTTAAAAGTATTTACCAGTAGTATTTTTTTAAATTTAACTCTGCTAGTTGATTTTGATTATTTAGAGTTTGTTTCTTTAGAGATTCTCTCTGTTTTTGATTTCTAAAAGAGTTGTTTCTTTATTATAACGTAATTCTATGATATTATATTATTACGTTATATTTTAAGATTAAAATCGGTGTCTCAACTAATTAACCGTTTTACAATAATTATTTTTTGGTGTAAATTACATTTATATGCTGTTATAAATTACAGTTAAGGAAGTTCGTCAAATGCTGATCTTTGCTTCATGCGCGAATTCAGGGGCGGAGTACCCATTAGGCCAGACTAGGCCATGGCCTGGGGCCCCCATTAAAAAAACTTTTTTGAAAATAAATTTTAAAAAATTAAGAAAAACAATGATCCATTTGAAATATATATTAATAAAATACGATAATTTTTTTAGTTCTAATTAAACAAAATAAAGTAAAATTTAATTTATTATTATTTATTTTTATGTTAAATATGCTTTCTTAAATGAAAAGATCTATAAATACTTTTATATTTGAATAAATAAAAAATATACGAGAAAAAATTTAATCTAAAGGTCCCAAAAATTTGAATGGCCTGGGGCTCCGCGTATGCTTAATCCGCCCCTGCGCGAATTGTATTTATTAATATTTCAGCCTTTTTAGTAAATGATAATCAAGGTTGAGAACTCATCATATTTGTTATCATTTTTAATTTTAAATGTTTTTTTGTTAAATTACTGTTGTCACTCTAAACATGAAGGTTTATATAAGTGCCAGACAAGGAGGATTAACTATTTTAGATAGAAAGCGAGAAACAGTTCGATATTTATTTTTTTTTAAAATAAATAAATAAACTTTTGGAGTTGAATATGAAATTGACGCCAGGTTGCCTTCATTTCTTTGTGTTATTTTAATTAATGTCCTGTTGTGCTACCTCTCAGCTATGCTCTACCACAGTGATTCTCAACCACTGTGCCGCGGCACTTTTGTGTGCCGCCAAATTCTTAAAATGTGCCGCCAAATATTAAAAATGATACAGTAAAAATTATACTGAATTTTGAATTACGAGTAAAGTTTAAATTAAAGAAAAGTGTATATTATAATTTTTCCACTCTTTAACCGCGGGAACATCTTTGTCAGCGATTGTCTTGTCTCTGACAATCTTAAAATCAGAAGGAAGTGTTTAAATTGTCGTTGACAGTTTTAAAAATGTTGAAATAAGTAGGAAATTTAATGATCATTAAAATTATTAATTATCAAAGGAAAGCAAGCTGAATATTAATTTTCAAACTTAAATAAAAGCTAATCATTAAAGTAAGCTATGCAATTAAAAGTTATAAAAAAAACTAACAAAAAATAAGTTAACAATTAATAATCAGCAAAAACACTAGTTGACAAGAATTAATAATCAGCAAAAAAACTAGCTATAGAAAACAAGCGAACAATTAATAACTAGCAAAAAGCATAAATAACTGTTACTAACTAATAAAAAATTAGTCGAAAGAAATAATTAATCCCTTAATAAATGTGATTTTGTAGTACTTTATTTCACATTAAAAATTATTATCACAAACTATTTAACACAGTGTATTATAGTTAAATAAATAACTTTTAAACTAATTTTTTTCATTGTGTGCCGTCAAATTTCGAAATCGTTAAAAGTGTGCCGTCACAAAAAAAAGGTTGAGAATCACTGCTCTACCATCTTCATTAGAAATCACACAATGACATACATTATAAGTGAATAATTTCAACTTTTGCAGAAAAAACTTTTTAGTCTAAGAAACAGCAATTATTGTGAATCAATCATCGGGATTGGTGAGCGGCAGTGAACAGGGATTTTTATCTGTTTTAATAAAAAATTAAATGATTTTCGATTAACAACATAATAGCATGTTTTCATTTTCAACTCTCGGAAACCCTGTGTATAAAATACATTTGAAAACGTCAAATTAGGCTAAAAAAAATTTATATATATTTGTCATTCGCTCACGTCTTTTTGAAATAAAATAAAATAAACCGGTACATGAAAAAAATGACCATTATAAGTTGTTTTCTTATATAAATATGCATTATTCATTTCAAAAATCACCTAACCCTAACCCTAACCAGTTTTTTTAATTATTAGTAGATTTGTCATTTCCTCACAAAAGTATAAAATGAAGGAATGATAATAGAGCATTAACTATTTAAAAACTTGTTGTTACTTTTATAACTTCTACTATTACTTCTTTTATTTCCATTATTACTTTTTGTTTCGATTATTACTTCTTTTGTTACTGTTGGGTCTTTGTGCCAACTAAATTAAATGAACGCCAATTTACGATACTACAAATAATTTTATCCCAGCAGATTACCGAAGTCAAGCATCACAGGCTGCGGTCAGTGTGCGGGTGGGTGACCACTTGGATCAGTCTGTGTAGGGACCGAGGGTGTGCGGTATGGGTCCTCGTTAAACTGTTCTACCGTAAAGTGCTCGGCTTCGCGTACAGGTCGTCGGGCTACCGAAGCGGGGGTGCCATCCCCTCTGCAGAGGATCAAAATTGTGCTGGCATGTCTTCGGATCATCCTCAGGGATGTTTCCCAGACCGTCGCCAATAGCCCATTGTGCAGCTCTAGTGCGACGTAAATGAACAAATCAATAAATTACTAAATTTTTTTTTAATATTATGAACTTAACTTATTTCATACGAAAGACTCATATAAGTTTTTGTCTACAGATCTATTACATTAAGAATATTGGAACTAAAAGCAATACTGCAGTCGATTGATATGTTATACTAAAAAATATTCATTTTTTAAGACTCAATTTTTAAGAAAAGGTACCACACTGCAGAAAGGAAGGTAGCAGGTTCATGCCTCAAAATCCGCGAAGAATCGTCGAGCTTGTTAACGAGTAACATACGAGTTTTTAATTGTAGAACTGGGTAAGCTCATCGCTTGACCTTCTATCCCTATTAGATGGTTCTTGAACATCCCAGAAATAAGCGGTTGAAACTGGATTCGGAATGTCAACCTATGATTTTATTTAGGTAGGTACTTTTATTTACGTACAATAGACTATTGGCGATGGTCCGGGAAACATTCGAACATAGATTTGAAGAGGAAGGAAATTTTCTCCTGATCCCTGTACCCATGGTACTGCTCATCGACCGACCACAGGACTTTCGATTCAGCAAATTTTACGAACACGTATATCACATGTATTCTATGGATCGAAAACATCGTTTGCTTCCAGTGTGAAGCCGTACTCCATCCCATCAGTGGTATGCTGGCAACCGCCCTGGCCTATCATTAACATGCTGCGGCCCTCGGCCTTTCCAATCAGCCATGGCCAGATTTCGTAGTGGCCATCTTAAGTGTTGAAGGTTTCAACATGGGGAGAGGACTTTCCAACCTTATTCCTGCTCACAACCTGCTAGTCCTGATCACCTTCTTTTTTGCCTTGGAGCTTCTTTTAAGCAGCTGCTGGTTGATCGGGTCTTTCTGCAGATATATGGGGAACTGACGCGACGGGGCCTTCTGGACCAGGTCTAGGCTTTCCTTCTCCATGGGGGATGTGTAGCAACAACATTCTATGGATCTTAGCGTAGTCGAGGATCAAACCCTGGTCCCTCCGGACCGAAGTTCGATTCTCTAGCCACTGGGCTGTAACTTCCCCCGATTCTACTAA